CAATTACAATATATATATTTGAAAACATTCTTACTTTACAGCATTTTTTCACACCTAAAACTTTTGCACAGTACTGTATGTATGTATGTATACACACACACATGCACAGATATACATATATACATACACACATATTTATATCTATATCTTACTATCTTATCTAAATAGGAGAAAATCTTGGGTTCCAATAAATATTAAAGAATCAACAGTAATTGTCAGATGTTTTTCTTCAACTATATATTTTATTTTGCTTTGTTGCAAAATCATACTGTATGTATGCAATATATGAATTAAACATGTCCAGACAGCTGTCAAATTTCTATCTTGGGGAAAGGCTACTGAATATGCTTAACAAAATATAATTATCTAAAATTGTCTTTTATGAATTATCTAAAATTCAATTTAGTCAGCATCTAACAAACACTACCAACACCAGTACAGTACTAACCAGCAGCAGCAGCCTGGGGTACAGATCCAGTGACAATGTTTAATATCATTTAAAGATTTAGATGGAAACACAATTTTCAGGAGTAGGAAGTAGTGACTGTGGTTAATAAGGTGCAAATTATTGTTTTATATTGTGAATTTAGTATCTATGACTTAATTAATATCTTCTGTAAAATAATTAATAGAAAATGGACACAATCTATCCATGATAGAATCTTTGCTTTGGACTTCCAGCCTTAGCTAACCAGATCTTGACTATCCAGGTCAATACATGCAATTAGCATGTTAGTACAGGTATCAGGAGAACCAAACAGAAGGAGATTGAAAAGCAGAGAGGAAGAGTAAAAAATGCAGTTAAGGGAATGTACAGAATGAGGTTAGCCCACAATAGCCCACATAATGGAGAAAATGTATGAAGAGCAAAGAACAGTGGAAAATAAGATTTATAGACTTTTATTACACTTGGAACAATGAGGATATGATACTTGAAGATCCACTGTCCTTCATTCCATGGCAGAAAGGTCATTTTTAACTGTTTTAAGCTGTGAATCAGTGCTTTGCTTTGATTGCACTGTGCACAGAGCTAATAGTAATACACTTGTCCATTTTATCAGGTCACTGGAAACTCATTCTCAGCATCTGAGAAGTTGAACTGCAGTGGTAGTGCATGGAGATTAACAAAAAGGGTTAGCAATCCTAAGCAAGTTCTTCAACTGGGAGGAATAAATATACAATAATTCTTATAAAATGTTACAGAGATATTCATGATATTCTCTAGAGCAGTGTTTCTCCACCTTGGGAACTTTAAGATATGTGGACCTCAACTCTCAGAATTGCCCAGCAAGCAGGGAGTGGGAAAACATTGCTCTGGGGAATAGGAAGCAACAGTTTCTCCAAGGGATATTTATTTTATGTTAATAGCAAGCTATGTAGCATTTGTAAATACTCTACCTTATTTAAAGTCCTTAGATATACAGTACTGCATACGGAAACAAGCTGTAAAACACAGTCATCTGGATGTTATCCCATTTGTTATCCCTCCATCTCATTTCCTATTCATTCTACCCAATTCTTGTTCATATCTACTTGAAGCATAAATATGCAGAAGTAAACTAGAGTTTAAGTAACTAAAGACTTTCAAAAAATTGAGGACCTGAGTTTTGTTTTTGTTTTTTGCAAATACATACTTTGGAATTTCTCTCATACACTCTTTATTAACCTCATTTACATACAAAAGCCAGACTTAGTGATGCTTAGAGCTGACCCACTGAATCAATGAGACTAAAGTTCATGAAGTTCTGGATCAAGTTCCATTGGTTACAGGGGGAGTATTTTGTAGCTGTGTTTGCATATACCATTACCCAATAACTTTTAGCAATGTTTGTTCAATAAGCCATCGAAACCTGGTTCATATATCAGCTAAGCCGGAATGCAACAGAATCAACAAAAAACAACCTACGTAATTTAGCATAATGTTGCCAACATTTTGATACAGTTTCATTTTTTTTCCTTCTGGTTTTTACTTTTTTCAGCTCTTTTATCTGCACTTTTCGATTATACTTTTCGCTATAAAACTCATATTGCACTGAGGAGTGAATAAGAATTTGTAGCAATCCCTCTGTTCACAACTGAAGATAGTAGGAAATCATCAACCCACAGATCAGATGCACTGGCATCTGTTTCATGTTTCGTTCCTAAACAGTTTATGATAATTACAGCCACATTTAGACCACTTGGATCAACAAGCTAGTGCAAAGGAAACAAAAGCTTTCTGTAGCTTTTTTTTTCTACACAAAACTACAGGATACTGGCTCTGGTTAACCACTCTAATCCACAAGGCTGACTAACCATAGATACATCATAGACTAAAAACATTTGTGCTTGGAGGCATGAGTGAAGCAGGGTGACAGTAGAATAGACACGTTTTCTTAAGTGTTTGAAAGAACAAATTGTCCAATATCCTTGACAACCCTAGCTTTGCTTATATTAATAATGAAAGTCTGACAAATGTATTAAGCAGATTTGAACTGTGGGATTTTGCTGGCTTTACTGTATATGACCTTTCCAGGTAAAGGAGGTCGTTTCACTCAAAGCATTGTGTGCACAATTTATGTGTCTACTTATGCTCCTTTTTACTACCTGCTCTGACATACACTGTCCTCCTCAAGCCATAAAGGGATAGATTTGACAGAAGAAGATATTAGTAACTGGGTTGAAGCAATGTTTGCCACTATAGCAGCAATATTCCTCTAAGTGTAGACTAAAACTAAAACAAGTAAAACATCCATCTATCCTCATAACTCTGCCTGGGTTCACATAGTAAACCAGGTTAAAATGTTGTTGGTTAATGTTCAATGTGTGATGTGAACACAGCCATAGGGATGTCTAGTATAAATTTAAATGATAAATAAATAAATGGTTAGCCCAAAATCTATTCTGTATCTTCATAGTCTAACATGCAGTGAGAAACCAGCCATTTCAGACAGTGTATCCAGTTTGTGATAAATGTAGCAGAATTCTAGTTGTATTGTTTCTCACTGTAATTGGGAATGTAAAAGTATAATTTAGCCAAATATCTTATAGCCCAGAAGTAGATGCCACTATCTTCAGTCCCTCTTACTCCCAACCAATTGTGGGTAGATCCATTCAACTAGATCTTTAAGCATCTTTATTCAAAATGTCCTTTGATTGAAAGGGGTCTGTTCTTGAATAAGCATAAACAGAATGACAGCCTGTTTTGATCGGGCTCCAGTTAAGAACACAGGAGTAGGGTCAATGTACTTTCTATTTCATTGGATGGCAACTCTTATACTTTGTTTTGCACCCAGACTTAGGTAAATAAGAATTCTCCTTTTGCTCCTGTTGAGGGGAGAATCCTCAAATGCATCTCAAATGGATGTTTTTATTGCTGTAAATAAATAAATAAAGTTATTGTGGTAGCTGCTCCTAATCTAGGCTGGCCAATGATGGCAGTCATCTGCTGGTACTCTCTAAGCACTTGCACTCACATCTGGCCTGAGTTTAACTCATGGGAAGTGACTTAATAGACTGAGAAAAAAGCTATACTACTGAAAACAGGACCAGACCTTGGTGCCATCAGAGCTGGTACCTCTCTGAAAGCTACTATCTCAATTCTTATCACTGCCAAAAAAGAAATGGAATGGAATGGAATGGAATGGAAAGGAAAGGAAAGGAAAGGAAAGGAAAGGAAAGGAAAGGAAAGGAAAGGAAAGGAAAGGAAAGGAAAGGAAAGGGCAGAAGCAAAAGAAGCATTGGGAACAGATGAGACAACATGATCCCTCCACATCTCCTTGGGATACTAACAGCCAGCTGTATAGATGGGCTATGGTGCCTAGTGCTTCTCCTCAAGCTTATGGTGGAGCTTCCAGCCCCACAGCACCTGTGTGGGCGTGCCTGCTGGACACTACAAAATAGTTGGAGAGAACTCCCAGCTGTCACAACTCACCCTTAGGCCTTCTCTGTCAGCGTTCAGATCTGTGTATTAGATAAGGAAGTGAATTCAGATTGCATTAGCTCAAAATGTGAACCACACCAAATCTTTGATTTAGTTTTGACTATTTTAGAATGAATACTAAAATATCAGACAGATCAAGTAGTTGACATCTTTTTAAATTAGAATGCCAATTGTTCCTGATATTTATTTTATTTATTTGTTGGATGTATTTTTTGCCTTTCAAACTAGAGCTCAAGGCACTATACATACCCCTCCTTTCTGTTTTTTCCCATAAGAACAACCCTGTGAGGTAAGTTGGGCTGAGAGAGAGAGAGAGTGCTCTGCCCAAAGTCACCCAGGGAGCTTCTGTGGCTGAGGATGGACCAAAACCTGGGTCTTCCTAGTGCTACTCCAGCACCTTAATCAATATGCCACACTGACGCTTCCCAAGAAACCACCAACATTTCAGAAATGTGTTCTGATTAGAGTTGTAAGTAACTGCTGAATTACAGTAGAGTTGAGGTATTAAAAAAAAAAAACATTTTGAGTCATTCTTTAGACATTTGGATTGTTTATAAAAAGAAATTTTGGAGGAAATATTAAGTCATACAGTGAATGGAATGCTTTTAAAAGTGCATTATGATCAAATGAGAGTTGGCAGAAAGAGCTAATTGATGGGATGCTCAGACCCCTGGTTGGCTTCAGGGAGGAGAGAAATGACATTTATGATACAATATTGAAGTCACTTAAATGCCAAGAGAGAATTAAAGTGGATGCAAAGGGTGAAGGAGAATCTTTTGACCGTTCAGCTATGTAATCATAATCAAGAGACCAACTGCAGAGCCAATGGAGTATTTTTTTAAAACAAAATGATTGTGTTGATGAGCGAGAGAATTCAGAAATAAAACAATTCTGGGGGAGAAAAATTAATCTCCCAACCACACATGCTTAACAGCTGCCACAGTTATTCTTAAAGGAAGCATAAGGGTGAGGAACCTAATAATCATGGATAGTAATATGCTGGGAAACAGTATTAATAAAGAGAAAGAAAAGCATCTTACGATATCTTAAAGACTAATATGTTTACTCTTGCATAAGCTGCCATGGATCACAATATATTTCATCAAATGCATCAGAAGTACACAGTGGTTGTGCAATAATAAATATGTTCATTTTAAGACTCTATTTCATTTGCTGCAGGAGACTAACACAGGTAGAAGAGAGGGGAATGGTGACAGGGTGTGGTTGATTGTAGCATGAAGCACAGTGCTCCTTCTTTCATCCTCCACAAGTTGTTGCCTTCTTACACTTTTGGACTAGATCAATTGTAATTGCCATCATGGCTGAATACTGGCCAGGCTGCTAAGGTCTAACACTAATTGGAGACTAGCAAGATCTGGAAAGCTACTGGTCCTCTACCTTTCCTTTAGAGTCTTTGTTGCCCCATCTACCTTTTCCCATGAGACCAATGGTATCTCACATCCTGCAAATTGGTCACCATACTCTGTGTGAGCACCATCTGAGGTGAAGACATATTTGAGTTGAAGAAAAATCTGTGAAGAAGAATCTTCCCCCAAGGGTCCAAAGTTCTTTTACTCTTGCAAAGTTTTGAAGAGAAAATGAAAAATGTACTTCTGGTTTCAGAATGAATATTATGGCCCAATGAGTCTGCTGTTGGTTCTGTCATGCTTTTTGGTTGTTTTAATTGGTTTGTGTAGCAACTTCTGCTTTTTAGGTGCTTCTGAAAGTGGCCTGGAGCTTTGGAAAGGCTTGGAAGGAAATGCTTTGAATAATAAAGATAAAAAGGAATAACAAATACTTACGATCCAAGTGCTTCCATGAAAATGAATGTTTTTCTGATGTTGGTAGTGGGTTTCTTCCAGGAACTGCCCTCATCCTCTTGTTTGCAGCCCATCTTCTCCAGAGTTGAAGGTGAAACTTCTGATAGGATATAATAATGGTTGAAGAAGAATATTCTAAACAATTATTAATGGTAACCCCTTAATAAATTATCATGTTTTTCTGTGGCAGATTTCTGGCATCTTCAGCAGATTTTAATATAACCTGTAGGCTAGCAGAAAAGAATCTGCTGGATCTCTAAGAAATTGTGGATTTCTAAGTGTTGTGATGCCTCTCTAATAATTGTGTACCACTGGCTACCCCATTTCTGATAATTTCTACAATTTGATCTCCTAGTTACAATCTGGACTCTGTAGTTCTTCTGTAAACTACATACCTGAGTAGAGATAAACCAAATTTGCTGTGATCTCTCCCTGTTAAAGACTCCTGTTCTTCTTTGAGGGCCTGAACTACATGAGGGCCTGAACAACTCTCCTTGTGATAAGGGCAGCATTTCCTAACACTTGGTAAGACTCAGCTGTAATCCCCAGGAGCATTCTCAGCAGTGTGAAGATTTAAATTATAAAAAGAAGGCTTGTCATCTGAGTTTCTAACTCTTATTGAGAGTTAGAAATGTCCCTCTGGAATATTCTGTATAGTGGAAAGTGAAAATTTAGATCTGATGATTCAGACTTTAGAGAACACAGTCTTGATTTGCAAGTTTCAAAATAGGATTATTTTAGAATGATGATAAAATAATTTCTAGCATTATTCTAGATGGCTGGTTCTTGTTATTCGTTGTGACAAAGAATATAGGACTGACATCATAAAAGACATTCAACTGATGGACTTAGCATCTTAGAGTCTGCACAACTACATTAGTAAAGCTACTTTGGAAATCACATAGAGAATCTAAATTCCATTCCTTTTCCCTTTCAATAGCAGTAAAATGTGCCATAATAATTAGGCTGCTATTTTTATTAGGATTGACCCACATTTTACACCAAATGTAAGGGATATTAGATGCTAACACGCTCATTAGGCAGTAATGATTTTAGTTTATAGTTGCCTCTAAAAATTGCGGAATCTTATTGCTCATCTAAGTTAATAGTCTACCACTAGAATTCAGAGCTAAGACATACAGAAACAGACTGATTATATAATTGCAAATTGAATAGAATGTATAGACCTGATTCATTCCGAGAAAAGAATGGGCAAGGCCAGACAATAACTTCACAGAATAAACCTTTCTTGAAACAGTAATTAAATTAAACTATTTTAATATACACGCTCAAATAGGAGGCTTAGGGCAAAACTACATGATAATTAAAACATATTTTGTGCTACCTATTTCTCTTTTTGACTTTTCTGGATTTAATGCATTATGGGGGGGAGG